CTTTGCATTTCGATGGAGCAAAGCATAGCCCAAAACGATTGACAGCCAGTACTAATCGGTTCAGTGCTGCTTTGCATGTTTTTGAGCTGTCACAGATTAGGATAATATCGTCTGCGTACTCCAAGTCAAGAAGTCGCTCACCAGAAAGCAGGTCCACACCTTCTAGGTCGTGTCCAGCGAACGCAGTTTTCATGACTTCATCAGTAGCGAAGTTGAAGAGGTAAGGTGACAGCGGGCAACCTTGTCTCACACCGCTGGTGATACTGAAGGGTGGCGACAGTTTGCCACAAACCCTCACTCTCCCCGAACTATGCGCGTTCAGCGCTTTGCTAATATTTACATATTTATCTGGCACACCTTTCCTTAACAGATAATCCGAAAGAGCACATCGATCAGCCGAATCGAAGGCACCTTTGATGTCGAGAAACACGACAACAGTGAGTCGCCAGTGAACATGGTGATGTTCTAACAATTGATGCCAGATGAAGATATGGTCGATGCAGCCTCGATCTCGACGAAACTCCGCTTGCTCTTTGCGGATCTGGCTTTCACGTGCGCCAGTCAGTCTGTGGAGAACGACAGATGCCAGCAGTTTAGAGGCAGTTTTTCGATACTATACCAATTACAGTATAATTGGCTGGGTGCCACAACACATAAGAAGAAAAAGATATCGTGAAAGGGAAGACAACTGTTAGGGTAAAAGAGTCTCACATCAAGTGCGCCATTGCGTACGGTCCTTGGCCATATCGTTCAGCGTTTGCAACCGATGTGCTTGTGGTCCTTTGGTCCCCAACGCGGGAACGCCCGACAATAGCCAGTTTCATTGTTTGCGCGTTAACACATTGGATTCAGCTTTTACATTGTCCTCTTTTCCTCGCTCCCAAGCCAAAGCTGTGCTCGCGAATGGGGCTCGTCGTGGTAGCCGTTGGGTAGGCATGCGAAACACATGGCCAATGCAGCGAAGCCTCCGCAGTGAGATGATGCTATCAATCGATCGGCGGAGTTCGTTAGATCTGAAGACTGGCCGACGGATTTCCTCATTGCTGATGTGGTTCTGCCATCGAACACCAGCAATCTTTGCAGGCAGCGGTGATCAAAGGCAGATAGCTGCTGAACATCGCTTTTGCGAACGGGCCATGTCTCACAGCCGTACAGCAGAATCGCTCGTACTGTAGCCTTGTAGACTCGTCCCTTGAGAGCGAGGCTGAGATCACGACGAAGCCACAGGTGACGATTAGCAAAAGTGACTATAGCCTTGGAGGCACGCAGAGAGATCTCACCTATCAAACCGCCAATACTAAGACAGTTGGGATTAGACTGATCCGTCTATGATTTCCGCATTTCAAACGGGTCCTTCTTTTGAGAATTGGGGCTATGACGGAGCGGCTCCAGTCTGTCAGGACAGTTTTCTGCTTCCAAATTTTCACTAGCAACTCATCTAAATCGTCTACAAGAGCAGGTCCCTCGAATTTGAAGAGGGCTAGGGAGGTTGTATCTGGCCCTGCGACCTTAGGCAGTATCAAAAAACTGATATCACGTTCGATTTCTGCGCGTGAGGGCGGATCTAAGAAGAAGGGCACACAATGCCCGAAAAAGAAGGCGATAACTCAGGTTGGTTAAATTGCCTTGCAAAGTGTTCGGCCCGATGTTCCAAGCGTTTTGACAGGCTGTGGATCAGCTGTTCGCTCTCGTCACGTATTGTCTTGCTAACACCAGGTTTCCTGCTGCCTGTTTCACGTATCAGTCGGAATAACGATGATTACCAGCGGCAGCGACTGTCTCCATTTCCGATGCACGATGAGACCATCGAGCTTCGCGGTCTCTCTTCAGGCTAGCACGCAGTTTTGCCGTTAGGTTTTTACTAGTCTCATTGTATTCGCTTCCAGATGGAATATGTCGGCGAGCATCCATAAATCCCAGAATACTTTGTAGAGGGCCAATGTCCAGTTTAGCAATTTGATATGCTACATGAAGACATGCCTGCTAATAGTAACATTTAGCGAGTATGCAACCAACGATCTACGGTGTTCAGTGGGCGCTTACTCAGCCCGGATGCCAACACACTTTGATACGCATCCAGAACACCTACCTTCGCCAATTGGATAATATTAATGCGCTCAGAGCGACGATGCAGACGTCCGCCGAAATGCACTCTAAGGTCGGCACACACAAGAGCGTGATCCGAGTCCACGCTGGTGCACCAAATTGCGCGACAGTTTTGGACACAGCCTCTCCAGCGCTAACTAACCGCGATATGATAGATTTGTGTCCATGGCTGCAGCAATCACTCACCTTTATCATTACGAGAGCATCCGCCATGTTGGTTGCCCAGATGAATCCCATCAGAGGACAAATTTCCGACTTGCGCTTTTAGATCGCCAGCCAACACCACAGTATCCGTGCTTCTTCTGTAACCAAGGAGATCGTGAAATTGCTGATAGAAATCATCTTTCACCGAATCATTGCTACAGTTTGTAGAGGCGTAGACCGCAATGATAAACAGGCAGCATTTGTTCCCGCGCGACTTCGAAGCTTGGAACGGCGCACATCCTTCTGTTTACTGGGATCCAATCATTCAAGGCAGCTTCAGCCCGGGGACTCAAAACAATGCCGACGCCAGCTTGACCTTTATATGAAGCTGTGTCATCGCCAGACAGGTGCAATGAGACTGTGCCGCCAGTGTCGCATTGGGGGATCGCAGGGTAAGCACGTAGCTCGAATCTTGCAGCGGGTTTCTGACAAACAGCGAATATCGACCAATAGGGTTTCTGTGTGCGAGCAAGTGTTGCTTGTTGGCCAATCTGTAGCAAAGTGCACACATTGAGGCGTGGCAGTCTTAACGAGGATCGAGTACTCCAAAGGGAAACGGATGAACTGACGTCCGCTTGGTTGTACATAGACTTGTTGACTGGATTGTGATTGTGTGTGAGTTGAAACTAGAAATGACTGTTGAAACAAGGTGGTGGAGGGTCAAGATTTGGGGATTGAAAATGGGGTATAAATGTGAAGTTGGAGTGGGACGCCAAGGATGAAAAAGCGCGAGGAAAGGCTTGAGCAGTAGCACCCAAACCCCTGTCCACGCTGCTGGATGCAGCAGATGGGACGCCGTTTAGTATCCGCTGCGACAGCTAGTGCATCAAAAGATTGTTAGGAGAAAAGGTCGTGATGTATTGCATGGGCAGGATACTGTCAGCTTGTCCA